CAGGAAGGAGCTGTTGTCACTCATTGTCCCCAGCTCAGCTGGGAGTGACTACAGCTCCTTCCTGCCCCATGCTTCCTCCAGCCTGGCCGTGGGGGCAACGGGATGGGGCTGTTCCCACGGGGCTGCAGCCTGGTGTAGGGAGGACAGGGAGGTGTGGGCAATGCTGGCTGTTGGGGGTCCTTGGGAACATGGTTGGGGACTATTTTGTGGAGAGCCATCTCAGTTCGGCACATTGCTGGGGCTGCTGCAGGCTGGCAGCCTCCCACCCCGGAGATGCCCTCTGCCCCCCTGATGCCCTGCATGCTGTGTGCCTGCGATCTTCCCACAGCTGGTCCCTGCCATCCCAGGGTAGGCAGAGAGGACAGTGAAGTCCTGCCCCCCCGCCCCCACCAGGGCTGCAGCTCAGCCCCCGTAATCCCCTTCCAGCTCCGACACACCAGCTTATTTCCTGGCTAATTCCCCAAGCTATAAATACTGCTCTGCCCCAAAGGGCCCTGAGTCCCCGTGGCCACCCTGCAGGGCAGGGGCTGATCCCCCTAGTGTGGGGACGAGAGCCCTTGTCCACCCCCAGGGGCAAAAGATGTCACTTGGGGGGGGCACTGCTACAGGGCATGTGAGACCTTGGTCAGGGCTAGCTTTAGCTCAGTTCCCCCTGGCTGCGTTGGGGACTGTCCTGTGCTGAGCAGGGCAGTTCCTTGGACACTGCTGTGCATGGTGCAAGGGGTCCCCAGGAACCTGTGGCGAAGGGCGGGGGGGGACGGGACTCAGGGCATCGTCCATTGGCTGAGCATCTCCCCCTTCCCCAGGCCGCAATGAGCCCCTGAAGAAGGAGCGTCCCAAGTGGAAGAGTGACTACCCCATGACGGATGGGCAGCTGCGCAGTAAGCGGGATGAGTTTTGGGACACAGCTCCTGCATTTGAGGGCCGCAAGGAGATCTGGGATGCCCTGAAGGCAGCTGCCTACGCAGTGGAGGCAAATGACCACAGCCTGGCCCAGGCCATTCTCGATGGAGCCAGCATCACACTGCCCCATGGTGAGGGATGGCACCGGGGGCGTGGGTGGGGTGGGTGCTGAGTGTCCCATATCTGGGCATATGGGTGTCCCAGGTTGGAGAGGAGAGGGGTTCCCAGCTGCCATCTATGCAGTTCAGCCCAGCCAAGAGGAGCAAGGCAGACTCTGCCCTGCTGCCTCGGGCGGCCCTGTCCCCATTCGGATGGTCCATGGGGATGCCCACCCACAGTGTCTCACCCTGCTGTCCCCAGGGTCCCTGACAGAGTGCTACGATGAGCTGGGCAACCGGTACCAGCTTCCTGTCTACTGCCTGGCACCTCCTGTCAACCTGATCCTGGAGCGGAGCGAGGAGGAGGCAGCGGAGCCGGCCGAGCCCCTGCCCAACGCCCGGAGGGAGTTCGCCCTCAAGGTGCGGCTCTCCACCGGCAAGGACCTGCGGCTCAGCGCCAGCATGGGTGACACCATCGGGCAGCTGAAGAAGCAGCTGCAGGCGCAGGAGGGCATCGACATGGCCTGGCAGCGCTGGTTCTTCTCAGGCAAGCTGCTCACTGACCGCACACGGCTGCAGGAGACCAAGATCCAGAAGGATTTTGTTGTGCAAGTGATAGTCAACCAGCCCCTATCGCCCAGGAACTGAGCCACCCCCGCACTGGTTGCGGGGAGAGGGCAGGGGGCTGGGGGCAGTGGCACCTGTGGGGATGTCCCGTGCCGCATCCTAGCCCTGCTGGAGCCGGGGCAGCACTTGCACCCCTCTGAGGCTGCCCCCCACCTGGGTGACCCGCCAGGAAGGTCTGCATGGGGCTGTGCCACCACGGTGGCCCCTCTTGGCTGGGGACATGGACAGGAGCTGCATTTGCTGCAGGAGGTTTGAGACCAAATGTGTCCGGAGTGGTCAGCGGGGCTGGGGCCCCACTGCCAGGCCGTGCGGGTGGGGAGAGGCCGTGACCCACTGGGCTCTGGCTCCCCCTGGCCACGAGGCCCTGGGGTGCTGGGCTGTGTGGAGATGTCTCCCCTCTGTACATAGTCTGTATTTATCAATAAAGCCTTTTCATCCTTCCTCTGGCCCCTGGGACAGGCTAGGGGGCTGTCACCTGCATCCATGGGAGGTCCCTGTCCTATGTCCGCTCCCATGTCAGGATGGGCACAGGGTGGCCAGGGAGAGCCCAGGCACCCCTGACCCTGTCCTGCCAGCCCCAGCTCTTTGGCTGCCTGGACCCTTCCCCAGTGCTGCTGCCATTGTCCCATTGCCATCCTGGCTGCTTGCCAGTGAGGGGCCACCACCTCCTTTTCCTGGTGTTCCCCTCTGGAGGTTTCAGCCTGTGCCTGCCCTGGGGCTAGGCAGGACAGTCCGCAGAGGGGAATGGTCCCAGGACCACCTTCACAGCTACCATCGCTTGTCCTGGTGAAAACTGCACCTTTCTGCAGCCAGAGGCTGTGGCACGCATGGGACAGGGCACTGAAGGGTGGCCCTGGGAACTGTCCAAGAGGGTCACAGTGATGTGTCATCATCTGTCTTTCCCCCAGGTCCCGTGCTGGGAGCTGGTGCCCAGCGCATTAAGTGTCCCGGCACAGGGCAGCGCTGGCCTCATCTTACAAAGGGGGAGAGCAAAGCTCAGAGGGGGCTGAACAAGGTCCCTGCTGCCAGGAATAGCTGCAGGCTCTGCCCAACAGCCCCATGTGAGGCT